GAGGAGGATTCTCTTTAAATGCAATTGTGAAAACTAGGGCTAGTGTATTATAATTAACTCACCTTATTGATAATTATATCATAAAATGTTTTCTCAGTAACACCGGCTACTTGCATGAAAAGATCTTAGCATGACCCTGGTTCACAACCACTGGAAAACGGGGGAGTACTGTGGAAATGTCACCTTCCCTGCATAGTCCTTTCATAGTGCTAGATGTCAAAATATTTAACATATCCCGACTGCTGACATCTTCAATTCAAGATGTTTTCAAATAGAAGTCATAGCCGTTATCCAAGGGCCACATATTGCTTTTAAATGTAATTCAGTTGTTTTCAAGTCTATGTCTACTCCAATTTATCATATTTGGTAGAGCTCTTAATAATTAACTATAAATTATAAGTTATGTGGCATGTCTAATCTCTTTGGGGATGCCTACATTATGCAGTGAAAGCATAAAATGTGAGTGGTTAAAGTCCCCAATGAAGAATTAGCGCAGTGGTTTCTCCTGGTATGACATTTACTCAAAAGGTGGAGTGAAATAGATTTGTGGGAACACAGGAAAGTGAAAAATAGTTCTATTAAAAGTACAAGGACATGGACTTTTACAGATGTGAAACAACAATACAGGCCAGTTTGAAGGTTCAGGTTTGAAGGCAAAGGAAATGCGGTTCCCTTTGTGCTGAGTGAGCACTGTGTCAGCTCATGGTTTTCCATGTTGGTTGAGGAGTGGGGGCTGCACAGGCCACCCTTACTGAAGGTTTTCCATCGTGGTGAGTCCTCAGACACAAACGGCATCCAAAGAGTCTGTCATCTCTGTTTATGGAGACGATGAAACCTCGTCCTCTGTTTTACCACGATTAGGTTAATTGACAAAGCAGACTTAAACTGGTTTGAAGATGTCATTGCTGTCAAAAAAAATAAATTAAAAAAGTGTTGATCTATCTGGGAAGACATAAGGATTTGGTACAAAGTGCTTTACTGTCCCTCTGTCTTTAGTAAAAACACTTCTTAAAAGAGCAACAGTCGCAGTGATGAATATCTCCCTCTGTCCAATCCAAAGCCTCTTTGACATGGAGAAGAAAGCTTTTTAGCTTTTGACTTATGAGCCAGCTTTAACAGTGTTTGTCGGTTTAATTTAGACAAGTGTTTTGGCTACTATCACATAAGCATCCGTCTTCACTTTGGCAGCACACAATGTTAACATGGCAAGTAAAGTTTCATTCGGAGCGAGGGAATTCAAATACACACTCTGTCTTGCTCTGTTGATAATTGGTCTCTTTAGACAATCTGATTGTCTTTAAAGTCGTCAGTCGCATGAATTCATACTAAATTGATTTCAAATGCTCTCTGTCTAAACCTTCAACTCACAAAATATGACATTAATGGAGCTTGGTTCATTGCAGTGTAAAGTCATTTTTGCTTCGTTTTCCAGCTGTCTTTGGAAATCTCATTGACACATAGTAAAGTAAAGGTGGTTTCTGCTGTCAGTGGAGGGGACTGCTGGATGCATTAGTTTTACAAGGCTGTCACATTTCATTTGTCATTCCTTGGTGTGCTGACTCTAAATACAAACACTGTGCTTGATAGTTTTGAGCATGTTTTTATGCAACCAGTTCTCATAACCTAGTCTTTGTGATAAGAAAAAAACTCGATGTAGTTTTTCATAGTGCCATTGTATTTGTTACTGTACTATAAATTTAGTTTTCCATTTAAATTCAAACAAATGAAGATATTGCACAATAGGACATGATTAAAAGCACATTTGCAAAAAGCTGTGTTTACTGCGTGCGTGGCAGAGACATGTATTGGAAGGTGGGATTAACTCTGAAGACAGCAGTAATTTTTTGAGCTAATATTCACATTACAGACCTTTTGGTCAGAAAAGCAGAAAGGTTTTTAAAAAAATACACTTTTGAGGTACTCCACTTACAGTTCAAATATGATTCATTTTGAACTGTTATACTTAGATTCCTGCTCTGTTCACAATACAAATAATGTATAGTTCCAGTTTGTCTCTTAAAACTGAAATATATCCCTATTTTACTCAGTTAAGTTTGTAATGAATAATATCAACATACAGTCATGGCCAAAAGTGTTGGCACCCCTGAAATCTTTCCAGAAAATCAAGTATTTCTCACAGAAAAGTATTGCATTAACACATGTTTTGGTATACACATGTTTATTCCCCTTGTGTGTATTGGAACAAAACAAAAAAAAGAAGGAAAAAAAGCAAATTGGACATAATTGCACACAAAACTCCAAAAATGGGCTGGACAAAATTATTGGCACCCTTAACTTAATATTTGGTTGCACACCCTTTGGAAAAAATAACTGAAATCAATCGCTTTCTATAATCATCAATAAGCTTCTTACACCTCTCACCCGGAATTTTGGACCACTCTTCCTTTTCAAACTGCTCCAGGTCTGTCATATTGGAAGGACGCCTTTTCCCAGCAGCAATTTTAAGATCTCTCCACAGTTGTTAAATGGGATTTAGATCTGGACTCATTGCTGGCCACTTCAGAACTCTCCAGCGCTTTGTTGCCATCCATTTCTGTGTGCTTTTTGAAGTATGTTTGGGGTCATTGTCCTGCTGGAAGACCCACGATCTCAGACGCAAACCCAGCTTTTTGACATTGGTCGACCCAAAATCCTTTGGTAATCCTCAGATTTCATGATGCCTTGCACGCAGTCAAGGCACCCAGTGCCAGAGGCAGCAAAACAACCTCAAAACATCTTTGAACCTCCACCATATTTGACTGTAGGTACTGTGTTCTTTTCTTTGTAGGCCTCATTCCATTTTCGGTAAACAGTAGAATGATGTGCTTTACCAAAAACTTCTATCTTGGTCTCATCTGTCCACAAGACGTTTTCCCAGAAAGATTTTGGCTTACTCAAGTACATTTTGGCAAACTGTAGTCTTGCTTTTTTCTGTCTGTATGTCAGCAGTGGGGTCCTCCTGGGTCTCCTGCCATAGCGTTTCATTTCATTCAAATGTCGACGGATAGTTCGTGCTGACACTGATGCACCCTGAGCCTGCAGGACAGCTTGAATTTCTTTGGAACTTGTTTGTGGCTGCTTATCCACCATCCGGACTATCCTGCGTTGCAACCTTTCCTCAATTTTTCTCTTCCGTCCACGTCCAGGGAGATTAGCTACAGTGCCATGGGTTGCAAACTTCTTGATAATGCTGCGCACTGTGGACAAAGGAACATCTAGATCTCTGGAGATGGACTTGTAACCTTGACATTGTTGATATTTTTCCACAATTTTGGTTCTCAAGTCCTCAGACAGTTCTCTTCTCCTCTTTCTGTTGTCCATGCTTAGTGTGGTACACACAGACACACAATGCACAGACTAAGTCAACTTCTCTTCTTTTTATCTGCTTTCAGGTGTGATTTTTATATTGCCCACACCTGTTACTTGCCCCAGGTGAGTTTAAAGAAGCATCACCTTATCTTAAATCTTATTTGTCCACAATTTTGAAAGGGTGCCAATAATTTTGTCCAGCCCATTTTTGGGGTTTGTGTGCAATTATGTCCAATTTGCTTTTTTTCCTTCTTTTTTTTGTTTTATTCCAATACACACAAGGGGAATAAACATGTGTATAGCAAAACATGTGTTAATGCAATACTTTTCTGTGAGGGGTGCCACACTTTTGGCCATGACTGTAATTATTGTGATGATGTATTTTCTATAAGCTTTGTTCTGTTTCAATGTGTTGAGACGCATGTAATGTTGATTGAATGAGTGATTAGAAGGTTCAGGAGGATTAACCACAACAAGTTGAGCATTAAAAATGATGCAATGCAGAAATTACCTTTGTGCGTGTTTGACTGTACATATCAAATAAACTGTAGTAAAGCCAGTGACTAGCCTGCTAAGTGCTAATATTAGTAGCTAGTAAAGCAAGGGCAGTTTCCCCAGGAGGTAATTAATGGCATAAAAGTCACAATAATACTGGCTAGAGATACACCTATTGAAATTTTCTTGGCTGATTCCATTTTTTAAAATAATGTTTTTATTACGATATATATAATTACGATTTTCTTCCTCTCTAAGATCTAGAATTAACAGCATACACAAGCATGTTTGTAATTTCTTTCTTTATTAGGATTCCCATTAGAACCATTAGAGGCATTGGTTATTCTTCCTTTCAATTGTATATAATGTAAGTATTTTATGTAGTATACTTTATTATTTCACCATTTTATTTCTACTTTTTTCCCCCACCTTATTTTAGTGTTTATACACAAACTTATTTTACCTCTACTTACATTCCTTTTCCCTTCAGACAAATACACATACCTACACCTATCTGTCTATATGTCTGTTCCTCTGTCCCTATCTATCTGCTCTGTTGACTTTCTTTGGCAACTTTTATAAAGTTGCACAAAAACACAACTTGCATCTTGAATTTTTCCCACGTGTGGAAGCTTATTGTTAATGACATTGCCTATTAAAACCAGTGTGGTACAGAATGACACATTGGCAGTGGTGTGTTCACTGTTGCTGTACACATTTTCCATGCCATGCTATTCGATTGACCCGGTCACCAGATCAAGCTGAAATATGATCGATCAGTGCATCTCTAGTTCTCATGGGAGAGATATCTGAGAGTAGGTGTGTAATTAGAATTTTTTTAAGCACACTGTGCTGAATCTACCAAAATTGTAAACCTTGCCTTTCTTTCATAAGTCATGAAAATTTATATTAACGTAAATCAAATTTTATGAATGTTGTTGTCTTTAAGAATCATTGGATAAACAATGTCACTTAAGTTAAATGGTAGGGAAGCTTCTTAAGAAACTACCATTATTAGCCAAATTTCACTTTATGGCTATATCACATTCCAGTTGAACGTACACCCTTTAAAATGTGTGGTTTTACTTTCACTTTAGGAAATGGATGAATGAATTACTCTTGTGGCAGCTGTTTTAACTGCTTGTTAAGTATACCAAGTATGCTTTATACCAAGAGACACACAAAAAAGAGAGAAACAAACTGTACATATTTTATTGCAACTTAATAGTGACATAATAGGTTATAATACATTATATTACAAATGTCTTATGTACAAACGCAATGTGTTGGATCTATTGACATCAACAAACCGCTAAAATATACAGTAAATACAGTGCTTGATTCATACAAGCAAATTGGTGGATACCTGTTCAAGCAATTCAAGAGTTCAAAACAAGTATTTTTAAGATAAAGCAGGACTTTGAAAAGAGTGTACCGCCTCAAATTTTGGTGGTTTGTTCTTAGATCTACTAAATGTTACATAAGCAGACTGTTACAAATGTCAGCTATTGGTGTTAACAGTTTTGGTTTTATGTTAGAAAAGGTAAAGGCACCATTTTTATTGTGTATTTCATTGTCAAAACTGGCCAGAATATCAACCCTGTATTACAAGTCAATAAATGTTACCGTTCCTATAAATTACACATTTGAAAAATTTATTTAGAATGAAATTAAAAGTCACTGGATATGTTTCCTGTGTCAACCTCATTTGCTTGTTACTGCAAATAATAATATCTTTAAATACATACTAAATATATATTGTAGAGTTCGTATCTCACTTAGTTGAATTATCGTGATCTGTTCCTTTCATGTCAAATTAGGTTAATATTGTTTTTTGCTCTCAGATCAAAGTGGATTACTGTTTGTGTTATCAAAGACAGTGTATTTAAAACAACTCCTGAGCAATGAGCGCATGTCTTTACTGAGTCATATGTGAACGGGAAAACAGTACAGACGGTTGAAGAAATTCTTTGAAGCGTCAGGAGGTATCAGTTTATCGGGCTGATGTTTTGTTATTGCGCTTTCAACATCATCTTTCTATCTGGCATGGTCTGGTGCCACCCCATTAATCAAAAAAAGATAAAGATCGCATGGATTTTAGGAGCTGTAAAGGTTTTTTGTCTAGTGAGACATACAGTACAGTATGTGTTCCTTGGTTGCTTAGTGGAAGGTGTTTGGGTTTGGACGGATCATCATGACAACTTTCTTTAGTGAATAGGCTCCTCCTCTGAACTCAGCCCAGTAGACTCCATCTTGGTAGCGGCTACGGTAGTGTCCGCCTCTGTACCAAACTCCGTTCAAATTTGAATGGGCACAAGAGTTGTACCACCAGCCTCCCTTCTGGTAATGGGCACAATTGCCTAGAGAGACATTGATAAAATAAATAAAACCATCAGGCTGCGTGCATAGACATACATTTTGCATTGAACACATATTTTCCATCATCCAGATTAATACCTTTTCACGTAAGATTTTACCTGTATATGCATCATGGTCTCTGTCCAGTGTTGTGAACTGTTTGCCGTTGTGCCAGGTGAGTGAGTCTCCAGCGTTGCCGTGGTAACGACCCACCCTTAGCTTATAGAAGTCAGCCTCAGGCTCTACTCTGAAGCTGGCATATTCTGCAAACACCTTCCTGCCAGACCAGTCCTCCAGCGTGACCAGCAGTTTGTAGTTTCCCTGGTTGGTCAGCCAGTAGATGTTCTCCAGACCCAGCCAGTACTCGCCATCAATATTGCCAAAACCTTGCTGTGAAGTGCAGAGATGTGAAAAACACTATCAGTAAGATTAGGAATTCCTTTCTGAATGGCCTTTGAACAGTTAGTTTGGATGTCTGGGGGATGATTCAGCGCTTGTGATCTGGAGGTTATTTGCTCTTCTACGGGGTTGTTTATCGTCAAGGAACATTATTATAAATGGACCCTCTGAGATGAGTTTATAGCTAGCATCAGGTGTCCAGATTTCCACTCTTATTTTGTGATTGAAAAGCACAGCAGGATACAGTTCACATACTGTGAAATCTGACATACTGGATGCCGTCTTACTGCTTTGTTCTGGCTCTGGTCATACTGTAAGTTGGTTTGTGGTATCCCCTACCACACACATGCTTTGAATCATGGAAACACCCCTTCTGATGAGTGTACAAATACAATTTCTGATCTCATGTGGTTTAAAGGTTTTTGTGAAAGTTTTGGAAAGGCACTGTTGCCCAAAGCTGAGATTTATTCAAGACCCATTTTTGGCCTGCGAACAAACGTTTACCAGTGGACTGCTTCTCCCTGTGTGAGGAGTTTTCCTTTCAATAGATGAAGAAAATGAGTTCCCCTTAATAATAACTGATGTTCTCCACAGCCATGTTCATCGGCTACCTCCTGATAATAAAAATATATGGTTGTTTTTCCTTATCAGGAAGGCTGACGCAGCCAGCAAATGTGATATTAAAGTACAATATTCACACATTTGTATTTTAATGTGAAGTCATTCACAAAGACCAACTGATATTGCTGGAATTATTGAGTCATGAGGCTGTGGCAGTGACTTTTTAAAGGTTAACAATTACCTATTCATTACTGTTTCACATCTGGTTAGTGTCAAAACAATCTACATAAGCCACCAGCTTCACTCCAAACTATGAGGTCCTTGATTTGGTGTGAGGTTGTCGCACCTTGTACGTCTCCCAGTTCCTGAAAAAGTTGACAGAGCCGTCCACCCTCCTCTGGATCACAGTCCAGCCACCTGGATCATGTCTCTGGTCACACCACACCTGCATAAGCCGGTTGGCATTTTCTGGCTTCACCAGGTACATGCCGCTGGCAGTGTGACCATCTTCCAGAGCCTGCAGACAATCCTTAAATGGGCCTGAACAGAAGGGTGACAACAAGACAGTTATGGCATATAGAATCCAGGCACTGAACAACAGTATCTTAAAAATTAAGGGTGTTAGACTCTGCTATAGGGAATCCCATTTTTCAGCAGAGGCTCTCATTTTAACAGTAGAATTGACTTTGGCTTCTCCTCTAACAAGGGAAATGGCTACTGGCTGTGCAGCCAAAAGAAACACTGGCATGAGGGCAAAGGGAATCCTAACTAGTGAATGATGAAACAGTAGCAAAAACGATCAAGCATCTGCAATGCTTTACAGCGCAGGATTGTTATTTCACTTTCACATAGGTTTTCTATTTTATGTTATACAGACACATAATTTCCAGTGGTGGCAAACATATTAAGGCCTCACATCATGTTTTGAAGAGGGGATTTCCGGGACCCTAAATTAATTTAAGGACAGCTTGTAAATCCTTGTCTTAAGCTGCACTTCTCTGCCAGTATGTCTGCTGAAGTTTTTTGTTGGTAGAAGTTGTGTGGAGTAACTGGATAGCCTCTTGTTATGAAGATGTAGTTCCCAGAAAAAAAACTTAATTGGACACAGCAGCTTGTCTAAGAAGAGTAATGTTGACAATTTATGCAGCGTTGGCCATGCATTATTCCACAGCAACATAATTCATGCTGCAAAGGTTTTGTAGATTTTATGTCAAGGTCAATATTGTTTTATAGGAAAATATGGTGGAACTCAGTGAAACCTATTTTGCCTGTGTGCCATTACATTTTTTCCCAAATTCCAAACCCAGTCAAAACACTAATGGTGCAACTGGCTCCCCAGCTTCAATTGGCTGTGAAAGTGTTTAAGTTCTCAAGCTTTCACACTTGTGTGGTTTGCCAACTGGCCCTGATTACAAAGAGTTTAAATACACTGGACTAATGAAAAGAGAATAGGGGGTCACACAAAGGGTTAGAGGTGAGGGAAGGGGTGCATCGGCAGTTTGCAAGAGATATAAAGACAGAAACAAAGCACTTCAGCTATTATACATACGAGGTCCTACTCAGCTGACATGCCACAGCATAAAAGTGTACAAATATTCAAAGTAAACTTATTTTTCTTTCTCTGTAACAAGGTTGTTTTTGGTTTTATTAAATAACTGGATGATACGTGTCTCTCGGCTCACTCTCTGCCATCCATTTACTCTCAGGAATGTCTCTGTTGAGCAGATACAAGCCAGAGATCTGCCCTGCCCTGCCCTGCTCTGTTCTGCCTGATAAAGTCTGCTGCTTTGGTGGAACATATGACTGTGCTTGCCGGTGAAACTGGAACAAATGACATCACTGGCTAACGATATCTCTTTCTGTTCGTACTTTACCCCCTCCCCTCCATCTCTCTGTTGCTCTTTCAGGTCTCTCTCTACTCCTTCTCCCTCTATTCTTGCATTGTGTGGAGCTCCCTGTTCGTGTTAAGGGTTTATGTAACTTTTTGGGGTGTTAGTTGCATGGCTAGGGGCAGGAAATTATGTGCCTCCTTTCAAACATTTCATACAAAGGCTACCGTTCACATGCAGCCTAGTGAAAATGGCCAGCTGCAGCACAAAATGTCAATGGACAAAGCTCCCAGTAGTCATGTTGAAATAGTTTGTTCTTTTTTCCACCATTTTAAAAATGAGGTCTCCTAATGAAAGGGAATGGTAATAAACTATTCACTGCAACTGATGGAACAAAACACCTTTCCAATATCATTACATTTAGCTGACACTTTTATCCAAAGCGACTTACTTGTCAGAGGTCACACGCCTCTGGAGCAACTAGGGGTTAAGTGTTTTGCTCAGGGACACTCAGTGCCTTGGATGGGTCACAGTGGGGGATTGAACCCAGGTATCTCACACCAAAGGCAGGTGTCTTTTCCATTTGCTATCAACCGCAAACGTGTTTAAGAGACCCTTGGGCTCAAAACTCGCTATCATTTAGGCACGTGTATTTTACTAGGGCCAACTCCCAATAATTGCCTAAACTGTCAGTCAATTAGTCTCAGAAAAAAACAACAACCTGCGGCTTTTCATTAGTGCCAGTGTCCATCAGGGGATCGTTTCAACAAAGACCTTTTCTCTTGTAACGCGGAACTCACTTACATGCCCTTCTCTGCTGTAGGCTCTGCCTGTGGATGCATTATTACAATTCAGAAGGTCTTAGTATACATCCACGGCTCTGTTATTAGCTCTGCCCTGACTGTGAGCTCGGAGAATTGTGGGGAGTGTTGGTGTTTAAATTGCCATCACAGGAGCTTTGGACCTCTGGGAGAAAGAGGTTTTCAGGCCTGGGGCGAGGGACCCAGCAGGGAATGCTGCTGGGTACAGCGCCAGAGTGAGCACCAGAAGTGGAGCGAGTGCCAGAACAGGAGCTGGGTGAGCGGGCAATGGAACCGGGCTCAGCAGCCTCCAAGCAAACACAGTGCCAAGTTGATTTACTGCGGCTCCGACCAGGACTCAAAAGACGATGATGACAGTCGACTAGGAAAATCTTTAGTTGGGAGCAGCCCTAGTATTCACCCTTCTTATATGCTTTGTGTTTTTGTGTGTGTTGAATCATGGTAATTAGATGATGTGCATCTCAAAAGGCTGTAGACAACAGCATTTCTGTTCTCAATGTGAGAGCCCTTTGCTCTGGGAATGTGTGGGATGTATTTAAATTGGCTATGACTGGAAGAGTGGGTACTTGTTGTTGTCTTGTGATTAATGAATAAGAGGTTTTCAATATTGGCTCAGACACGCAATCCTTTGTGACCACTGGTGTGAAGGCAACTGGTGTGTTTGGTAAGAACGCATCAAAAATAGAACTTTTACCAGAATTTAAAAGTTAATTTAGAATTATCTAAGACTCACCAGAGGGCTTGTCAGTAGTGGAGGGGCTGTGTGTGCCAGTGGGCATCGTTGGAAGAAGAGGCGGTAGAGATTTTTGGTCACTCTGGATCTCGTTGCTGATTGGGTTGTTAATTCGTGGGAGGGCAGGTGGCTGGTAAGGCTTGTTTAGAGGTGGTGATGGTGGAGGTGGCTGAGGCCGTGGCTGGGGGACGGGCACATGACGAGGGGGAGGGCGACTCTGGCACTGTTCTTCCAACAGGGCAATAAGAGTTGATTGGTTTGTGGCCAAAGAAGCCAAGTGCTGGTACTTGTGCTCGAGATCTTTGTATCGGCTAGTGAGCTGTTGCATCTCAGAAGTTTGGTTCAGGATCTTGTTCTCCATTTGAGCCAATTCTAAGGCATTGTCCCTCTTCCTAATGATCTCGTGGAGCAGCTGCATGTACAGCTGAGTGACTCTGGAGTTCATGTTTCGGCTCTCCTTCCTCAGAAGTTTGACCTCATTGACAATACCCCCATCCACCTCTACCAATTGCTGCAGTGTCTCAATTTGCCTCTTCTGTTTCTGTAGCTCCACATTTAGCAGCTCTAATTCTTGTTTGTTGACTCGATTCTCCAGCATAGCCTCCGGCTCCTTGGAGTTGACACAGATGGCTCCAGTCACTTTCTGTTGAGGCACAATGAAAGTGTAGGAGCACTTGTCCTGCTGCTGGTCAGCTGGAGCACGTTTGCTCCTTCCAGCATAGAGAAACTCTCTCCCTAGACCATCCTCACTACTCTCAAATTCTTGGGTCCTGTCTCTGTCTTGGCTGCTGTCCGATGGACTCCCCTGTGTCTGCTGGACACCACAGGCTAGTCCATAAACAAGCAGGAGTCCCAGCAGGACCACTGAAGGGGGATCCATGAGTTTGTGTCCAACTCACAAAAGCCTAAAGAGAATGGGGAAGAAAATTGAGAAAATGATTGTATTTCAGTGAAAGATAACTGACTCAGTTTTGAGTCTGTTTTAGAATAGTCTAGTACCTATTCTGGTACTAGGGCATAAATGGAGTCCTTCACAGCTCTTCTGGTTGAGACCAGAAGAAGACTCGTCACACTCGTCAGACTCACACTCACTCGTCCCATCCTCCATTACCTGCCAGGACAGGCAGGCACAGAAGCCCTGTGCGCACACATCTCAACCAAGGCAGGGCTGGAGGTCATTACAGCTCCCAAAAATATGGGCTACTGATAAAGATTAAATCTGAAAGGAAATCACAGGCTTGCCCTGCTGAACGCCCCAGTGGCTGTTGTGACTTTCCGTGACAGGAAACACATTTCATTGCAAATCATTTCAATATAAAGCACCATGTGATTGGAATAATCGTCATCCTACCCTAAGATCTATTAGCACTTTTCGCTGCTTCCTGTCATCTTTAGCTCTCACTCTTAAAACAGGATGTTCACGTTATTAAATGCTATCAGGTATAACTACGCTGGTTTGTTATACATTAGGCTTACTAATAACTTAATTTGTTTTTCAATTGTTTTGATTGTTTTAACTTATTTTTCCTTGTATTAACTGAGGGTGCTGAGTGTGGGTGAGAGTGGGTGTGTGAGTTAACTGTATATGTGTATGTGTACTATGTGTAGTGATGTAATGTTCTGTTTTGTATTTGTTATATATTTCTGTTATAGGACCCCCTTGAAAATGAGATGCTGCATCACAAGGGGCTATCCTTCAAAAAATTCAATTCAATATACATATCGCACTGTACATATCACTACTGGTATGAGCACATATGAACACACACAGTTTTCCCAGTGGCGTTTAAGTGTAATTCATTGAATACATCTGGCCCTGATCCCGATTTGGTTAAATCAGCTATCCACTATCAACACATGCTGTTTGAAAGTTACTAATCCCCTCGCTGCCCCTAAGAAAAATATTTCTTTTGTCTAATGATGTGCTGATCTCTTTAGTCAGTTGCATTGCTGTTAGTGGAGTGTGTTTAGCTTAGTTTGCTGTGTTGGCTCAGGTTCTCTTTGGGTGACTGCCACTGCTTATCCTTGACACACACTCCTATCTGCTCCCAACTGCAGGCCTGGACATCTTTGCTTATGGAAAATTTGAGACTCTACCAGATGATGCTATTCATGGAACTGTTTTTAAACATTGATCGTGTTGCATCAGTCCTGTCCATAGCCCTTACCAAAAGAGGGAAATAAGTTGCATTCAGACACTGAAGGCAATTAATCATAACACTGAACATGTCTGTTTCTGTTTTGACTGTTAGACTTACTTTAACCATCTAGCATGCTCTAAAATAATCTAATTAGGGATGTTACATAACATTGTCTTCTGTCTCAATCTTTGTTTCTGATTTAAATCTGAAATATATCCCAGTTTAGATTATAATCTCCCTTAATTTGTTTTTCCTCCATAACTGGACCTTGTAGCACAACACATAACTTTCCTCGAGTTAATGAGAAAGAAATGCTTAACATTTTTATTAGAAGAATAAGTGCAGGCAGTTTTTGTAGATGATGTGGTGTTATTAGGGGATGCCACTGAGTGCTGAGGAGAATGTAACTCCTGTGTAAGGATATCAAGGCCTTGAACTCCCGGGGCACCTTAATTGAAAACTGCTGCATATTGGATTACAGAGGGGTCCTGTGTAACACCTCCTCAGAGTCAAGAGGGGCCTGTCTAATCAGAAATCATTATAGTGAGGCCTATATTGGCTTGCTTTTTAAACATCAGGATTGCCAATCTTACAAGTGCTTCCCTCACACTTTTGTTATAGCTTATCTCTGTGTTAAAGATGAAATATAATAGTAAGCACAAAATTGGGAAGAGAAGAGAAATGTTTTTGTCTTGTTAATCCGGGCGTACTGCCAGCACATTAGGTTGGAGACATGGAGAAGAGAAATGCAGTGCTTTCCAAGAACATGACCCCTGGCACATTTGACCCTTCTGGCTTTATCTGTCTAGAATAGAATGTGTAAACACTTCTTTTTACTGAAAAATACTTGCGCACTGTACTCTTGTGAAACATGTCGGCCTTTTTGATATTATAGTTTACCTGGCCAGAAAGAAAAATCACCCACAGTGCAGAAGAACATAAGGTTTGCTTCTTCCGTATATTTTGTTACAGTAGCAAGTCCTCAGCTCAAACGTGAATGCTATGAGTAAAAAAAAGCCGCAAAGAAGAGTTTCTGTTTCAAATTTACTATGAAACTGTCTTTTGACAGCACAGTATGAGGTCTTTCATAGTACTAATCCTGCTAACAATGCTGGGCTGTATGACGTCACCTCACCAAATGGTGATTGATGCAGAAATTGTAGTGTCATAAATATTTTTCACACCATGCAAATAAAAACATCTTACTGAAATTATCTTATTTTCTTGAGATCAGACCCTAAAGAAATCACTAATAATAGCTCACAAGTAGGCTATAATAGTAAGATAATAGAGCGGCATACAGCCTGTCCCTTGTAGTGCTGATGACTGTATTTGGCCAGTGGCTCCTGCGGTTTCTCCCCCTGGAACATGAGCTCTGTGTCTGAGAAATGCTGTGTGATTTGCCCCCACCGCGGAGGAGTCCCATGTTGGACGTCGTTAGCCCGGAATCTCCTGCTCTAGGCTTCACTAAACTTCAAAGCTGTGGAGGAAAATGTTTGCAGCTTGGTGACGAAATGTATGCATTTATTTGTGTGCGGGCATGTACAGCATGTGCGTGTCTGCAAGTGTTTTTGCGTGAATGTGTGTTTTCAAATAACAACACTTGCAGGACTCCCAGGGACCTGAGAGAGTCCCATCTGCCCTCACAGAGACAGCCTGTTATTAACCCATCCACAGTCTGCCAGAGGAAACAACAGAAAGCCGCCTCCTCCTCTGCTGTTAACAGCCCCTACAGCTCATTATTGTTCTAACATCAGTTCACTTTAACAAGCTGCTATTGACTGGCAAATAGCTGCAATGATTAACTGGTGTTGAGAAGTGTCACATACGTTTACTCTGCTCAGGTCCTAAAGACGAATGACTGAACTGTGAATAAAATGACTGTGCAGTGAATAACCACTCTCTTTGTAATTTGATTGGCAAATCCTCTAGGGTAATTTCTTCAAGTCTGCTTCACACCAAAATGTTTTGGTTTTACTGTTTTCAGATGGTAAGTCTGTGTTTACACGACTCCTCCTCCTGGATTTTACTCAATGTTAAATCAAGTGTGATATTCGAGTACAGCGCGCAGGTCAGTGTGTATCTGACCAGCGCTGCACTCCAGCCTTTTTGGTCATGCTCAGCACATATTAATTAGAAGGTGGGCTGCCTCGCTCAGACTGGCTGATGTCTCTCACCCCAGCCCCTCTCATTTCAGCGTAAGCATGGCATTCCTCACATTCTTCGTCACCTCATTAGAGTGAGCTGCCATACACACATGGGGAGTCATGGGTGGTGGCAGACGGAAAGAGCTAGACCCTCTAGATGCAGGACCACTACTCCCCTTATCCCTGCCACACCTATAAGACATACTGCATCAACTGACCCAATTCATTCCCAGTGTCCTACTTTCTTTGTCAATGCTTCATAATCACATCATCATCCACAACAGGAGATCACAACACAACCACACAACACCTAATTTGTCTTTGTGCTGCATGTTCAAATTAGCGCCAACTCCCCTGAGAACTGGCAGTCTCCTGCATGACACCCAATATGTGCTGGATCACAGTTGAATTCAATTTGCTCATGGTACTCATGGGTCTGCACTATTACATTCCCTTGAGGGTGACCTAATTTTTTCCCCAAGCATGTAATCCTTGTAAGTGTGTAACTTGACATGTGGAACACGATTAACCTAAACTACCTACTCTGTTTGATGGTGTAGGATAGTATTTGTTGTTGCTTTCCATGGAGCAAGAGTTTTTTGTTTGTTTTTTTTCATTCAAATTAAGGTTTCACCATGTGTCTCATGTTGCTTGGTGCATTCTTCCGTACCTCAGTGGTGAGCTGAGTCTGACAGGGAGGCAGGGGGTCTCAGGAATTGTTTCGATAAGTTCCAGCATTCTACCTCAAAGCCCCCTTATCCAAATACTACTCTGGCAACAGTAACAAAGACGGGATTCAGCTGCCTACTTCCCAGTCCTCTTGAACCCAGGGGAACATCCTGAATCCGTAGACCACTTGACACGGTCAGGTTATCCTTTTTTTTTTTTTCTTTTTTTTTTAGAAGTGAATGGCACTTTTAGATATTAGAAAATAAATATTTGTGTCAGCATGTATGAATCAAATCTCTTGCTGTATATCATCTACACACCCTCTCCATTGCCCATGTGTTATCAGTAGAGAAGAGGCCTGCTCTCCAGCTTCCCCCTGCGCTGAATTAGCCCCCCTCGATCAGAGTCATCTGTCCGGTTAGTCATCAGAAAGCAGAATTACCCTTTGGCACCAAACAGAGTCAGATAACGGATGCTGCATGACGACTGTTGCATTTAAAAACAAACAATCATTATATAAAGAGAAGCAACTTAAGAAAAAAAAACAGCCGAAGTCTGACTTCAATCAAATAAGTGCTTCACCATTATGTTAGAAATGTGACTGAGTTGATTGATTCGGAGCTGACTAACAACTTGTTTTACACCATGAAAGGCCATCATTTGCTCTGTAAGATTACTTGTTACAAATTTGTCGTAATGTGCATGACCATTGTCACAGTTAAATAAACCAATACATATAATATAATAAATAAGTCATAGCTTACCAGATAACAGTAGAGTATTGATGAGGCTCCCTCAGTTGCCTTGCCCTCCTGGCAGAGCTGATTGAAGTTTCTCCTGGTAGAAAGTCATCCCAAGTGTGAAAGCTGCACCCTTGCGTCCTTCTCTCACCCTTTCTACGCACTGCCCGTCTAGTTACTCACTCTGAGTCACCTTAGTCCATTCCAGCAGTGCAGAGGTAGTGGTGTTCTATTATTAAAAGAGCGTCATTAGCCCAACTGTAGCTTGTTCCAATATCCACTTGGGAAAAGTTGGAACACTTTTCAAGAGACAGCTGGTAACTTTAGTTGGATGGTGGAGGTAGTTTCCTGATAAATGGTGAGAGTCCAGGGCAGGTTGTGTACTGTCTGTGGCCCGTTAGGAGAAGACTGTCACTTTTCTGTGGGCTGAATCCATCACTTCTGCCTCACAGCTCTAAGAGGCTGTCTCTCTCAGCTGCACCTCTCTCTCTTTCTCTTTCTCTCTCTCTCTCTCTCACACCCCTCTCTCTCCCTCCTTGGTGCTTTTAAATGATGAAAAATCCTCTAGCAATGTTTCAGTAGGCAGACAAATTGAGCTCAGAGCCTCCCCCTCTCCCTTTTAAAAATGAACACATTCTTGTTTAAAGCAACAGCCTTCTTTCTCCACCCCTCCTCCCCATGGCACAAAAGAGATCCACAAGCATGCACAACACAAGCCACACACACACACACACACACACACACACACACACACACACACACACACACACACACACACACACTCTACTCAAATTTCCAACCCCCTGCCCCTTGGCCACTTGTTCACCACCATCACTATTTCTGGCTTTGACGGCATGGTTCTTCTGGTGGTGGACAACACTGACGTTACACTGATCAGATCCTAATTGGCCATGAATGAACACTTGCCCCAAGAGTGACGGAAAGACACAGACAGATAGGAAGCAGATCCAGGTGTTTGACTTAAATCAGGTCTGGGTGAGTGACTGCTGACCCTGGTTTATAGCCGGGAGGTGAGATGTCTGAAACTGGCTAGGTCTGCGTAAGAATCAGCACACTTGAACTACATCTTGCTGGGGGATAATTACGTAATATCTTCAAAAGCAGCGCTGTATTTACTTGTGTCCATGTGTGTTGGTGGAGAAAATGAAATGAAAACATGTTGTCGTGTCAGAGTGCGGACAGTCCTGCCAATGCTCTATAAATTTCTCAAGCAAAGACTTGGCTTTAGATACGGTTGCCTTGGCTATTGTCTGTTGTTTTTGTATTGTCTTCCTGTTTTCAAAAAAGTTTACATTTTTGCCCAGCCAGTAATGTTGTCATTGGGTTTCCTGTTTCTACTAAGATTATTTAGTAGTTAATAGTTTTGTATTCAGTGTCCATAGAAACCTCAGAGTAGCATTTTCCTAAGAGCTTACTTACAGAGGCATTTCCCCATTTCTCGCAGCTATTAAAGTATTTCTTAATCTGGTATAGTGTTTTGTGCTTTGTTACCTATTGAAATTAAATTCTCTGGGGCCAACTTGAAGTAGCACCAGATGGGAAACTATGTTCATCAGTTGTCGTTATGTGGTTTTTAGCCTTGAGCATATAAAAATTAGGCTTATTGTTGCACTTAAACTTTAGCTTGATAAGCTGACTATTGTTATCTTACGGTAGGCTGTATGCCAAAGGATGGTAAAAACATTTCCTTCAGTGTTTTATCGTAGCTTTGTGTTTATAAAATGTCTAAGTTTGGCTGTGGAGGTTGTTTTACAATGCTTTTAATAAACATTAAATATATTACAGATGGTGACTAACTTTAATCTGTGTCAACTATAAACTCTAAAGGTGTTGGGATGCGTGTAAAATCAGGAAAAAAAGGGGAAACAATTAAAAGTGAATTCTCTCATGTGCCAAAGTTACAGGTACATCACTTCCATTTAGGTGTTAAGTGGCAGGCATTTACATGAATAGTAGTACCAGTACTTTTTTTTAAAAAGGTAATTAATAAATTCTAGATATTTTTGCTGAGTATGGCGCACAAGTTAATAGGGGAAGTCTTTCAGTAATATTATGGATTTATTTTTCAAATTAGCACATTTTTTTCTATGTATGTGACTACTCAGGTGCTCCTGATTATATACTGTACAAAAAGCATTTTCCATTGTATAGTTTTAAATTTCCATCTACTCAACCCTTTAAGCCCATAGATTTAAATATTGACCTCAGTGCATCCCAGCATCTCTGAAATCCAAGCTCTTGTACAGTTTTCATTCATGTGTTTTTTATCAAGGAATGATCCAGTCATAAAACAGTTGTACTTCAACTTTGGGAAAATGTTCCCACACACTGTTAACCAAATGGAGTAAGAAAGGAAAAGCTTATTTGCTCTAGGTAGAATATAACCTTTCTGATCCCAATTGCCGTAACATCCTAGGGACAGGATTTTAGTAGTAAGTGAAAGAAAATATTGTAAACTACAAAGCACTGATCAGCTTACTGTAAGAATTAAATATCTATAATGGAAAAACCTCATCATTACAATAAGCATAGTCCTTGTCTATATCACATAAAGGATTTTATATAATGGATATTAGTGTCGCATTCATGTGTGATTCTTCTATTTATTCAGATCATGTGTGGTTCGGTATTTAAAGGCAGACGGTCGGTGATTTCGTATTGATTCAGGTTCTTCCTTTAAGTGACTGGAACTGTCTTAATGTTTCCCTTGCTGACACAGCAAGAATGTACTACTGGCTTTATGAGACAAAGTTCCTGGCAGAAGACCTTGGACCAGCAAGAAGTGAACAATTTATTTCGTAACATCCAAGATTCAGCCAGCCTGAAGGCCCAGTCACACATTTGACAAGATAATCCCTTAAAAAGACTTTTGATCAAAGAAAATGTGATTAAACTTTAGCTCTCATGCGTCATGTTTTACTGAACTGGTATTATTCAATTGTTTATACCTATGTTCTTCTCTTTCTTCTCCTAAATGACAATTCCAGTTGACTTTGGTGAATGGCACTCTTACTCAGCTGCTGGGAAGCCGAGCTACTTTTCAATGCTGAATATTTTGAGTGACTCATTGGGTCTTATCCAAAACCGCGGTGTTTGTGCAGTGATTAGTTCTCTTTCCATCTCTAATCCGCAGCAGGTGGAGGAACAACGGATCATAAAAATGTCATGGAGGAAAATGTTACTCCCATATTGAAATACAGTAACCAATCAATGTATTTTAAAGCTGCATGCACCACACGGGAGAGATCATGGAAAGTGGTTGCATGTCAGAAATGTTTCGCAGATGGGCTTCTATGTTGGTGAATGAATGGGCCTGTTTACCAGTTCATCTGGGATTTGCAGGAGGAAAGCTTCTGTTATGAGTGCAATTTGTGGCCAGTTAAATAAAAATGTGAGTTAAAGACGTGACAATTGCTTAATAGTTATGTTAATTTAAATACTAAATACTACCAATAAATGATAAACAGGCCAAATGATCAAATAAATGGCAGATTGGATAAAGATTAATATTAACAAAAATAATTTGCATAGCGGCTATAACTGCATGGGAGCTTAAACAAAACAAGCTTACACAGATATTAGGAAGTGAAGAAAGAGAAGTGAGCCTGCTGTACTTTTTTATGTCAAACACATCTTTTTTAGATCAGTACACGATTATAAAATTATTATGCAAGTGTTTTAAAGTTGTTAAACTTGTGATCTATCCTGATGTTGTTCATTATGACAGCTGTGGTCAAAAAAGCACTGCAGTTCTCTATTCAAGTAGAAATACTATTAGGTAGAAAATAAGAGCTTGCAAAGACAGTAGGATGATGATGTTTATGCAACAACGCACCTCTTGTAGAGCTGAAAAGAAAAGCACAAAAGTTTTATCGCTTTTGAGGCAACTGGATATATGAAATCTTCTGTATGATATAAACAAAATGATTGAATAATAAAAAAAATTTATATATTCATACAAAATATGTTGTAAGCCCCATTGTTGAATCATTTAAATATTTGATAAGCCACACAATAATCAAAAATTCAGTATTCTGTGCAATAAATTTAAACTATTCTCTCTCAGTATACAGCTGGATAATACAAAACATGAACAGAAACCCCCCCTTGCCTTCAACTTGTACTACCTTCTTTCTCTACCCCTCCTCCTATATTAAAATATATAGAAATTGGAGCTTGATGTTGACACAGGTCCCATCTAGAAGACAAGGCCACACACCTGTGATAAAGCAATTAATATTGTACTTTTAGAGATACAAACTCCCAAACAAATTAGAAAAAGATTATATTATCTTGGGGCTCTCTGCCCATTCGCTTTGCCTGGTTGGTAATCCAGCCTTGCTGTTTATCATGAAATGTACTGACCCTAATGACGTTTAGGCTAGAAACACAGATGAAGGGTCAATAAAGTGGCGTAAATAGAGTAATTGGGTGCAGTCTGCCAAAGGTGACATGCCCCAACTCTGTAAAATTGTGAGTTGAGGTGAAAGGGCAAGGTAGAGATACAAGAGATACAACTTTTAGGAATTACTGTAGTTAACTTGCGTGTAAGTGTGTTAGAAAAATTTAAACTGACCCAACTGTTTAATTTTCACTGACTGTCCATTATTGGCAAACAGCTCTGCAGTTGTCTGCAGTACATTTGTTCCCTCTGAATGAAATAATTTCCATTGAAAGTATTAAAGCCAATAAATCTAACGGGTACTCACAGATGTGAATGCAATTATTTACTTCCAGCCCTGGTTGACTTTGACATACACATGTTGGCTGTATAGCTGAAAGCCAAACAACACAGCCCCCAAATAATACAGTTCAATTTCAGTATTACTGATGCTTAAATGTATGAATGTGGAATATGTTCCGTAATATTCAACTTAATCCATGTTTTTTCATGAATGGGAACACGTGTAATGGTTGTGTTTTGGCTGTCAGTGTATGTACCTAATATGAGTGGCTTATTGGCCACTATAGTGACCAGCATGTTTCCCTGACTGACAGCCATGGTGGATGGTTCTCATTTGACCTGCGTTGACCTTGTGCCTCCTGGCCGACTGTTGCTGGCTGTTGGTTATGCATTTTTGATTGACACAACTGTGAATTCACTTTCGAAAGTTGTTGTTGTAATAGGCCTTTTTTCTGCCATGTTTATCCTGTGTGGGTATATTATGAATCAGATAACACATTTATCAAAAGAAGAATATTAATATTTTCCTCTGATGTGGCGTGGAAAGAGTTTGCTAATTCTTCCATGGCCTTACCGTGTAGGACTCACTGTGTATGGTGGCTAGACCTACAAGGACTGTTCTGTTGAGAGGAAAATTTTGAGTTTTATGATCTGAGTGGAAAGAATGGGACTGGCTCAGGATTCTGTCAAGCTCACCCCAACTGTTGCAGAAACCACGAAATGAGACCAGTAAATATGGGACGTGTGAGAATTTAGAGGAACAGGATTTCATTCAGACTTCATTAGTCTGATGTTGAAAGCATGAGCTGCCTGTGTGGCC